TCCGTTGTGCCTCCGCCGCCCCTCGCCCTCCCCGTCGAGCAGGCACCCGCTTATTTTAAGCGACTCATTTTTTGCTTCCCCCCCCGCCTTCTTTCCCCTGGCACTGAGCTACAAAAAAATGCTCATTTCCCACCAGAAGGGACCCCGGTGTGTCGTCTCTTACCGGCTTCCGACGTGCCCTTTTACCGGACAGCCCCCCGAGGTTGGGGGCAGAAAAGAATGGGGCTGGACAGATCAAAGGGAAAAACGAGAAAGGAAACCCTTTATTCGTGCCTGCTCTGCTGCATCTCCCCGACTATGGGGTCGGCAACCATTTCAGGGCCGTTCTGCCCCTATTTTGGCCAAAATGCACGTGGTTGTGGAAGAAGCAACGCCAGATGCTGAAATGCCCATCTTAGGTGTTACCGCCAATACCCCCTCCTCCAGTGCCACACCAGTTTCTTGAAGGGAATATACTGGGCTTCAACCAACAAAACAAGTGCACTTCTCGCTGCCCCCGGCTGACGTACGTCCAGAAACCATTTGGATGCAATTTAGCAGTTTATTCTTATCATCATCGTCATCATCATCATTAATTTTCCGACGTAACAACCCGGCCCGCGCTTTCAGAATAAAATTGAACTTCCCGAAAAGGAACGGCACGCTTTGGTTTCTTTTCGACGAGTTTCTTCCTCCTGCACGGCTAAAGCTGGGGATAAAACCAGCTTCGGTTGGAAAATCGTGGAAATTGGTAAACCCTCTTAATTTCACATGAACTGGCTCAAACTCTGTCAGCATCGAAGTTTTCCAGCGCCAGCGTTTACTTTTCATTTTTACAATTAACTTCTTTTTTTTTTTTTTTTTTTTTTCCCTCCCTCAGGCACATTTTTTTTAAAAAGCAGATGCACATTTAAAAATATATCCGAAGCCGTACAAATGCTAGAAATAAGACATGAAAAACCTCTCCCCGTCCCCCTGGTTCCTGTTCAGCGCAGCTGCCCCAGCCGCATGTCAGAGAGAGGGAGATACACATCCATCTGTCTGTGTCTATACACACGCACCCCCACACTTACACAAGTATAAATACGACCATTTTAGAAGCTTAAAGAATTATTAATAAGACGGTGCTGGGCTGTAAATAGTCGTTGAAAGGCTTAAGCTTTTGTCTCTTGTTAATCGCGATTAGTGTTTCTCGAAAGGACCTTGACCGTCCCAGCGTCTGGACTGAACTCGTGGCTCCAAGTGGTTGAATTAAACCAAATCCCGAGAAGATTTTTATCACATATTGGGTGGCAGACAACGTTTTTGACACGGATTCTGCAATTCCCGTTCCGTCTGAAGGAATATTTCGTTGTGTCACGGAGATGGAGCTGCGCCCGGGACTGGTTAACTGGAGGAGGTGTTCCCAGCGTGTTGGGAAGAGCTCTTGGCCAAGGCAACTCCTTCACTCATCAGGCAATTAACCTGAGACCGACATTTCCAAACCCGACGGACCCGGGAGGCTCCGGACTCCGGCTCTCGCTCATTTCGGCTGCGTTTTTCCTAAATTCTCTGCCGTGCACGTTTCTCTTTCGGGCTTCGTTTTCAAACCCTGACCCCGGCATCCACAGAGCGCGGTCTTTCCACCAGATGGAAATCCATCAGAGATGGTCTTTCCACCAGAGATGGTCTTTCCACCATCTCTCCCACCCCTAAAAATTCTATTTATTTTTTTTTTCCCTTTTTTTCTTTTCGACAAAAAAAAAAAAAAAAAAAAAAAAAAAAGAAAAAAAAAAGAAAAAAAAAAAGAAGACAAGGAAAGAAGCGACAGAAAGGACAAACGCCCAAGGAGGCAAGGAAGAAAAGCGAGTGTCTGGAGCAGGGTTGGGGTTACACGGGACGAAGGGCTCCCACCCGCCGGAGCGGGGAAGGGTCGAGCATCCCTTCGCCCCGCGATGCCGGGGGAGGGGGGGCGGGAAGGAGCCGCCCGCTTGGGGGGAAAGACAAGGAAAGAAGCGACTAACCTGCCGGGAAAGCTGCCTTCGGACGGGCATCTTCTCAGGAAGGAGAGAGGGAGAAGGAAAAGAGCGAGCGAGAGGTTGCGGGGAGCCGGGAGCCGCTGCCGCCCCCCCCCCGCTCGCCCCCCTGCCCTGGCTCTGTCACACCGGTCCTCTCCCTCCCCTTCTCTCCTGCCAAATCCAATATCTCGCCAGGAAGCTACGAGTCTGCACGTCTTTATTTCTCACTCTAGACGAGCTACGACAACACAGACGCCTTTTTGGATTTTGGTTAGTTTTTTCTTTTTTCTATTTTTTTTTTTTTT